GGATAAATACCATGCAAATAGCCCCATAATCAATCTTCTCTTTTATGAAGTGATGTCAATCTCCATATATTTTGTGTGATCATGTTGTAATGGATTTTTTTGCAATGCTTATGACTTCTTTTTTGTCACAATATAACTTCATTTTGGCATGGTTATCAGAATTCGTAGTTTTTCAAGAATTCTTTTCAATCATAACATCTCACATACTTCATTAGCAATAGCACTATATTTTGCCTCAACACTACTCCTTACAATCACATTTTGTTTCTTACTTTGCTATGTAATCAGGTTTCCCCACGCATAAGTGCAGTATCCAAAAGTTGATCTCTTGTCAATAATTGAGTCTGCCCAATCTACACTAGTGTAGACCTCTATACTCTTTTGTGTGGTCTTTTGAAAGAGTAAGCCCTTGCTGGTGTACCTTTTAGATATCTAATAAGTATATTAACTGCTTTAAGATGGTTCTCATATAGCGAATGCATAAATTGACTTGTCAAAATCATAGCAAAGGCAATATCTGCCCGTATATGTGATAAGTATATGAACTTCTCCACTAATTTTTTATCCCAAACTGTATTCACTGGATCAATTTCATTCTCATCTCTCGGTTTCTGAATGGGATAAATAGGAATAATTGTGAGTATACACCCACTCATCCCAATTTTATTGAGAAGATCAATAATATACTTTCGTTGGGAAAACAATTCCTTTCTTTTATCGAGCAACCTCCATGCTAAAGAAATAGTTTAGAGATCCTAAGTTATTGGTTTCAAAAATAGATGATTGGAATGTATTCAAACGATTCATATCATATGCATCCTTTTCGATGAGAATAATATCATCCACACACACAAACAGTAATGACTATCTTCTCATCCTTTGAATGTCTAAAGAGCATTATACGATCTTCTTAACCTTGAGTATACCCCTAACCTTTAACAAATAGTAAAAAATTCTCAAATCATGTTATCGGTGACCGAGTGAAACCATTTAAAAAAAATTTTAGTTTACACATATTTGTGTCAAATATCTCACTAAATCTCAAATGTGTATCTATATACACTTCTTCCTCCAAGTTCTCATTACAAAAGACATTCTTTATATCTGATTATTGTAGAGGCCAGTCAAAATTAGCTGCAAGTGACAAAAGAACCCTTACATAGTTTAGTTTTGTAACTGGGGCAAATATCTCTAAATAATCAATGTCAAATGTCTCAGTGAATCTCTATCAGTTGAGCCTTGTACCATTCAAGAGAGTCATCAAATTATACTTGATTTAAACATTCATTTGCATCCAAGAATTCTCCTTCCTATAAGTAGATCACCCAACTCTCATATGCCATTTTTTTCAAGAGTTTTTATTTCCTCGAGTACAGTCTCCTCCCACTTAAGGACTTTCAAAGCTACTTGCATAGCAATAGGAATCTCCATAGAAGACGG